TTGAGAGCCTTTTCAGTTCTCCAATTAAATTTTAATTATTTGATTCTGCCAGTAGTTTATTTTTCTTTCGCAGTTTGGCTGCTGCTGGTTTTATTGGCAAGCACACGTGTCCTCAACACGGTGTCCGTGGGCTTCACTGTGGCTGCCAAGTGTTTCTACAAAGTGGGTAGGGCCAAGTGGGGCTTTTGCCCAGCAAGGCTTCTGATTGGCCATTGGAGGAGATTCGATTGACTGTATAGATATTTTAAAACTTTGCTTTGGCATAAGCTTCTACCACAGCACAAGTATCTTTACTGTGTGACTGAAGGTAAGTTGGAGCAACAACTTTGTAGCTGGTTCCACCTCCTGAAGCAGCCATTTTGTGGCAGCCATTTTGTGGCTGCACCCGCCAGAATTCCAAAGGTGCCCACAGGCTCAAATGGGTTGGGGGATCTCTGGGCTAGCATTTTGGATTATTGGCTCTTTAGTGTTGTTTCTAATTAAACGGGTCACTTAAAAATTAAGAAATTTTCTTTGCTGACATATTTTCTTTGTTTATTCAAAGAGTTCCTGCACCACTTTTCCATCCATTTCAAGGGTCCCTAAGGCAGCAAACATTAAAAAGTGTTTAAAATAGAAATTTACACAACCAGGGAAATGCTGATCACCACTTTGGGGTCAGGAAGCAATGTTTCTCCAGTCCAGTTTGGCTGGAGATCCTGGAGGGTTTTTGTCATCTGGGCATGGAACTGCGGTCACTGGGTGTATGTGTGTGGGGGAGGTATTTTTGTGTTTCCTGCATTTTGCAAGGGGTTGGACTAGATGACCCTGGAGGTCCCTTCCAACTCTATGATTCTATGATTTAAAGCAAACATATAAACAAACGGAGGGGGGCTAATAAGAGTTAGTGAGGAAACACAACAAAGTCTTCACTTGCTGGCGGAAGCCAGTAATAGAGGGAGACAGATGAATCTCCCTGGGGAGGGAGTTCCAAAGGTTCAGCGGCACGAATAAGAAGCCCCTTTCTGGAGTTTCCATCATCAAGCCCCAGATATCAGGGGCACCCAAAGCAGGGTCTCCAAAGATGACTGGAATAGTTACATAGGTTCATATGGGAGTGGGCCGTTCTTCAGGTGTGCTGGCTACAAGCTATATAGGGCTTTAGGGGTCAATACCAATATGAGGTGGGCCTGGAAACAATTTGGGAGCAAGTGATGATGGAAAAAGACTGGAATTACATGTTCTCTACAACCTGCTTCAGTCAGCATTCTGACCACAGCATTCTGTAGTAACTGGAGCTTCCAGACAGTCTTCAAGGGCGGCCCCACATAGAGCACATTGCAGTAAGCTTACTCTAGCATGTGCTGCTGGGGCAAGAACTTTCTTGCCCAGAAAGAGCCACAACTGGCTCATCAGCTGAAGCTGATGAAAGGCTCCTGTGGTCACTGCTTGCTGCTACCTGTTTATGCAACAAGAGGCCCAGGTGTGGCAGCACCTCCAAGGTACGAATCTATTCCTTGAGGGAGAGTGCAACCTTATCCAGAACTGGAGACATCCCAGTTCCTAGGTGAAACCTCTCCTCCATCAGTAGCACCTCCGTTTTGCCAGGACTTGTGGATTCCTATCTATACAAATTTGTTCCTTGTCCTTCCACCAAGGGAACGCATTCCCCCATGCTGCCAGTTCTGTGGGGTAAGTTAGCCTGACAGGCCCAAAGTCACCTGGTTGAAATCCATGGCACTGTAAAGGATCTGAGAGCATGCCAGGCCTCCCAAATCCTAGTCCAGTTTTCTAACTGCTACAGCGCCGCTCCATAAATCAAAAGTTGGGGAATAAAATATTTTAATAATTTTTTGGGTGAAGGATGAATCACAAAGTAGAATAGGTGCACAATGTACCAGGGTTTTCTCCAGATCCGTTGAAATGGCTGGGCATGTTGTAGGAACAATTTCGTATGGATTATGTTGCTTAATTGTTTTAACTGCTGGTATAAACGAGTTGAGAGAAGGGTGCACATCCAGTGGTGGTGAAGGTTCCATTAAGCTGTGCCAAGTTTCTTATATAACACTGCCATTCTTTTGGCATTTCGTATCTGTGTGTTGATAAAAGAATAACCGCAGTTGGTTTAGTGGCTCTGGTTCACATGTAGCTGTCGTTTAGAACAAGTCAACATTCTGAGTCCTTTCCATAAGCGAGCTTGCACAGAAAAAAAGCCAGTGACTCTCCCCTTCCCCTGTTCCTGATGCGTGACTCTGAGCAATATTGCAAACTCAATCCAAGCATGAAACCACCCCAAAAGAACACAGTTTCTTGGGAAAATGGATTTGCTAAACTGTTCAAGGCAGGATCTTGGTGGAAAGGGCAGGGGTAAAGAGAGATCATGTATTTAAGCTCAGAACAACAGAAGGATAAAAATGTAATTGATCTAATGCAGGGGTTGATCGAAGAAGCAGTGGATTTAAGGCAGGGAAAAGTTTTGGTAGTTCTTGGGTGCATCAAAATTTCTGGTTAGCTCATTAGTACTACTCAGTGACTTTTGGGCGCCTTTTCAAACAATTAAATGGACTTGTACCCTAGGCGTGCATGCTAAAGGCACAAACCTCTTCTGCTCCAAAAGCAATCCAGGTGACTAACTGTTTTAGCCTGTGTTGATAACCCTTACCATTGTTCTTATCAGGTACCTAAGGAAAATTGTTGTAAGCACTTAAGCAGGTATTTCCATTTAACCTTGAGCATGTCCCAGAGAAGGCCATTTAGACTCTGCTGAAATCTTAAATTTGGGTCCCGTCCCCCCGTAGAGAGGGAGATTGGGTTAAACATTAGACAGAGTCCGTGAGTGTAGGTTACTAGTGGAACAGACTGCTTAGGTGATCACAGAATCATCATCTTTGGATGTGTTCCAAGGAAGGAATTGGATCAACATTTGGTGGAGGCATTTCAGTATGAGCACAACAGTGCAGATTTTGCACAAACATCAAAAAGCCACAGTATTCAGCATTCTGACAGTGTCTTCATTTGCTTTTGGAAACACAAGGTCCTAGTCCTCAAGGCTACACAGAGTGGCTTTGAAACATTCAAACAATGCTTGGGGGGGGATGTCTAAAGGCTAAGAGAACTCTTTTTAATGTTTGCATTTCTTCCATTATGGAATGCAGGGTTCCCAGGACATTTATGATCCGAACACTAACCTACCTGACTCAAATCTTCTTGGCTTCAGCAAGGGATTTTGCAGCAACTGGGGCTAATAGGATTTCCGAGGTTTTGTGGAGGTGGAGACTATGCAGACTAAGGAGCAGAATTTGTTGCTCTGTCAACTGATTTTTGACAGAGATTATGTTTTGAATGAAGCAAGGGCTCATGCACCAGAAACGCTGGCCCTACTTTCTCCCTTGCAAGCCAAGAAACTGGAGAATAGGAGTTGCCTGTCCCTCATCTGTTGAATCCATGTAGTATGTGAAATAAACAAAATAGTTACAGGGCTATATGCGCCACGCCACTCGCTCTACACTGGCTTGCCCTTGGGACTGACCTGAAGGCTCCAACTAGTCCAGAATGGGGTGGCGCGAGTCCTGGAGGGAATGCCAAGGACAGCACATATACAACCTGTGCTTGCGCCAGCTACACTGGTTACCGGTGGAATACTGAGTCAGGTTCAAGGTGTTAGTGTTGACTTTCAAGGCCTTGAGCGGTCAGAGACCAGTGTATCTTTGGGACCTAGGGTTGCCAAACCCCCCCCCCCCGGTTTGCCAGGGGTCCCCCATTTTTTGGGGGGGTTTTCTTCCCGCCGCTGGCCAGATGGCTGGTGGGGGAAGCCCCGCCCCCAATACCCACAGCCACCCCTCTCCCTTCTCTCTTGAGAGAGAGGGGTGGCTGCCTTTAAGTGCATGGACGTTTCCTCCCAAGCCCGATCTCCGCTTGATATCAGGCCTGCAGGGAAATGTCAGCGTGGACTTAAAAGGGAAATGCTTGCTCTTTGCTCTTAAAGGGGAAACGCAGCTCCGTGCACTTAAAAGGGAAACGCCAGGTCCTTTAAGTGCAGGGAACTGGTCTTTCTGGAGATTGAGCGGCGGGCGGACAGGGCAGCGGACGTCCCCAATGTGACGTCATCACGTCGGGGATGCCCCGCCCCCTCCAGGAACGCCCCCAAAATCCCCTGCTGGGGGCGGAAGATGGACTTGGCAACCCTATTGGGACCGCCTACTCCAATATGTCCCCAGAAGAACGCTGAGATCAGCCAATAACTTGCTGGTGATCCCCAGCGGTAGGGAGGTCCAGCTGTCCTCAACTAGGGCCAGGGCCTTCTCAGTCCTGGCCCCGACCTGGTGGAACTCTCTTCCAAATAACATCAGGGCCCTGTGGGATCTGATGCAATTCTGCAGGGCCTGTAAGGCAGAGATCTTCCGCCAGGCTTTTAATTGAGGGCAGCAAAAGACTGGCACCCTCTCTCTTTTTCTTCTTATGACCCCCCCCTGGTGCCCTTCCCTGCCCTGCTGCACAGATAGCAGTGTAGCTGGCAAAAGGGATCCTGTTGCCATCTTGGATTGGTTAATTTATTGGTTTACTGTGATAACTGTATACTGATTGTATTTTTAATTTCTTTTAAGGTTGCAAATCGCCCAGAGCCTACTAGCAGGGTTTGCGATTCATATATTGAATACATTATAATAATAAGTACATATTTACAAGGCTATGTTAGATATGTATTGATTCTGCAGAAGACTTCTCATGTAAGAGGGTTTGCTAGAGCATTAATTTCCTTAAACTTTCCCACTGCAAAGATATGAATCACTTTGCTTTTGCCTTCCTTTCATGCTGATTGTATGGATCTATTCACTGTGGTTTGCAGCTGCCTACCCTGTGCTTATCTCTCCAGCTTAATTACCCAACCAGTTCCATGATCCTGTAAAGGCTCTTGGTGGCCGCAGGACCTCTAATGTCCATTCCAGCTGCTTGGCTTTTACTGTATCAGAGAGTGAAATGCTTGGTAATAATTTGTTTTGGCTCCCTTCTTCTCTGGACAGCTTGTATAATGAAGAAAGAAATCTACGCCGCATCCAAGAAAAAGAGAGGAGGAATCAAGAAGCTCACCAGGAGAGAGAGTCGTTCCCGGCCAATGTTCCCCTCTTTGGAGAACCGTATAAGGTATCAATTCAAAACACACACCATTGCATGATAGGTTGAAGGCTAGGGTTGCCAGCCTCCAGGTGGTGGCTGGAGATCTCCCGCTGTTACAACAGGTCTCCAGGCAACAGAGATCAGCACACTTGGGAGACAATGGCCTCTTTGGAAGGTGGACTCTATGGTGTTACACCCCATTGAAGTCCCTCCCCAAACCCTGACCTCCTCAGGCTCCACCCCCCACCCCCCAAATCTCAAGGAATTTTCCAACCTAGACCTGGCAGCCCTACTAAAGGTTGAGAAGGAAAGCCTCTCTCTGTATCATTTTCCCTAACTTATGTACCACTTTTTCAAAAGCCTCTCAGTGAATTTCATAGCCAAGTAGTGATTTCAACCCAGTACATTTTAGCACTCAAGACTGCTGTAGCACACTGTCCATGTGAACTTTGCATTGCAGAATGGATCTTTTATGCTGCCTAAGACTTGGAAGCCCATTTCCCCCCTTTTTTCTAGAGTGGCTTACAGCTCTAGCAGCCCCCAGGGCCTTAGTCTCCTCAAGGATTTTCCAGGCCTCTGCTCTCTAGCTTTCAGCTTTCTTTTTTTAATACTTTCCCTCTTTTCCTCCTTTTACTTTAAATGAGGTGTTCTTAGCCTGTGGTCCATCGACCCCATGACAGGGATCCCCAGCCTTCTTTGAGCCTGCAGGCACATTTGGAATTCTGACAAGGCGTGGTGGGCACAGCAACAAAATGGCAGCCACAAAATAATTGCCACGAGAGCCTAACTTCAGTAACACAGTGTAGATCCTTGTCCTGTGGCACATGTAATGAGAGAATCATGGAACAAAAGCTGTAGCAAATACAAACTTATACCGTGATGAAATTGCTAGAAGTGTAATTCACAAAACTTTTACTGCATAAATAACAACCTCTGAAGAAGTCAAATTACAAATCACCATCACAAACCACCTTTCGGGTGCATTCCACAAGATCCATAAGTTATAAAGACAGTACCAAATCCTTATCACTCTGCAGTTCATATTAAGGGCACTCCTCTGTTCTTCCTCCTCCTCCTTCAAAATCTTCAATTGCAAATTTGAAGTGTCTTGTGCTGCTAATAATTCACATGTATACCAGCTCACAAGATCTAGTCATCAAGATGTAATTCTGTTTTCCAAATTCTTCATATACGAGGACACCTCCTCTTCACTTTTCGAAGGCAGACAACAGATTTTCAAACTAGGCAGTAGGGACCTTCAATTATCACCGCTACATGTTCCGCTTTAAGAAGTTGGTCTTGTGTGTAAGAGTATATGATACGTTCCAAGTGGTCAGCCGTGTTGGTCTGAAGCAGTAGAACAAATTTAGAGTCCAGTGGCACCTTTAAGACCAGCAAAGGTTTATTCAGGGTATGAGCTTCCGTGTGCATGCACATGTTTTCAAATACATTGGAGTGGAAGGTAGAGTTCAAACTTATAGGCAGAGGCTGAACAGCAACTTAACATGTAACACGATGAAGATGTTTTAAGATATGCAAAGACAAAACTATGATATGTTGTTAGTGATAAGACAGTTAGAATGTTCTGCCTTTGGCAAAGCAGTCAGCGAAATGAATTCAAAGGCTAGCAGCTTCGTAAGCTGGGACATGCAGTTCTTACATCTTTCTGACTGGTGCCAGAAAAAGTGTTTGGGGTGTGTGTGTGACATGGTGCCCACAGGCACCATCTTGGGAACCCCTGCCTGGGGGGGGGGGTTCCATGAAGTGATATTAAAAATGCTTTTTTGTTTTATTTCCTTTTACTCTGAAAACTGCCTTAAAAAATCTTCTTTATGTCATAAGAACATAAGAGACACCAATGTTGGATCAGGCCAAAGGCCCATCCAGTCCAACACTCTGTATCACACAGTGGCCAGAAATACCAGTGCCATCAGGAGGTCCACCAGTGGGGCCAGGACATTAGAAGCCCTCCCACTGTTGACCACCCCAAGCACCAAGATGACAGAGCATCACTTGCCCCAGAGTCCCTATCTATACCTTGTGGCTAATAGCCACTGATGGACCTCTGCTCCATATGCTTATCTAATTCCCTTTTGAAGCCGTCCATGCTTGTAGCCACCACCACTTCCTGTGGCAGTGAATTCCAAGTGTTAATCACTCTTTGGGTGAAGAAGGACGTCCTAAGCTAAAGAGCCCTAAGCGCTTTAACCTTTCCTCATAGGGAAAGTGTTCCAACCCTTTTATCATTCGAGTTGCCCTTTTCTGCACTTTTTCCAAAGCTATAATATCCTTTTTAAGGTGTGGTGCCCAGAACTGCACACAGTATTCCAAATGAGGTCTCACCATTGATTTATATAGGGGCATTATTATATTGGCTGATCTGTTTTCAATACCCTTCCTAATAATCCCCAGCATAGCATTGGCCTTCTTTATTGCAGTCACACACTGTCTCGACATTTTCAGTGAGTTATCTACTACAACTCCAAGATCTCTCTCTTGATCTGTCTCTGCCAGTTCAGACCCCATCAATGTGTATTTATATTTAGGATTTTTGGCTCCAATGTGCATCACCTTGCACTTGGCCACATTGAACCCCATTTGCCATGTTGACGCCCACTCGCCCATCTTTGACCGATCCCTTTGGAGTGCCTCACAATCCTCACTGGTTTTCACCACCCTGAACAACTTCGTATCATCTGCAAATTTAGCCACTTCACTGCTTGCTCCCAACTCCAAATCATTAATGAACAAGTTAAAAAGCAGTGGACCAAGTACTGATCCCTGCGGTACCCCACTGCTTACCACCCTCCACTGAGAAAATTTCCCATTTATACTCACTCTCTGTTTTCTATTAATTAGCCAGTTTTTGCTCCATAAACTCCATGATAACTAGGAGCAAGGCTTGTTATAGGACCAATACAATGAGCCCTAGAAAGACGTGAGACCTGCCTGCGCCCCCAGCCTGGACATGCCGCCGAGACCCCGGGACGGCGGCATGGGCTTCCATGGTGTTCCTGCACGGGCATGGGTGGCATCCTCCAAGCTGGCTCCACTGTTGGCCGCCCTGGCAGCACGGCAGCGGGTCGCAGGACGGCCACGCACATTGGCCCTGGACCACTGACGGCTGGAAAGAGCGGCATTGGCGTGAGGACCTTCTACCCTGTGTGGTGGTTGGGCCGCATGTCAGCTGTGAGGAGAATGACGGCTGGCCCCACGCTGTGGCCCCCCTAGAGAGACCCCAGGCTCGGTGGCGATGGAAGGGCCCGGCACTGGCTCTCTGGCCGGCTGGGCGCCGGCAGTGTTGGGGACGCCTCAAATGCTCTGCAGGCCAGCAGGTCGCTGGGCCCCGTGCGGGCGCAGGCTAGGCGGCGAGGGGGATTGGGCCTCTGGCGGCGACAACGGGAGGCAATGTGGCCAGAGGATTGGCTCCCCTCCTGAGTGTCAGATCAGGGACCCAAAGGCTGGGGAAGCGTGTGGAATGTTCAGAAAAGAGTAACACGAAAACTCTTTTATATATAAGGAGAGATTATGCTTGTTTCACTCTAAACAAGTGTAGGATGGCATGGGATGCTACTGTATATGGTCAGGTAATGTACAGTTGTTATCGTCACCATGTTAGAATGTCTTGAATAGTTTCCTGTTGATTGGAATTAAAGAAAATATACCCTGCCATTATGATTATGGACATCTATCCTTGTTTTCATCGTCACATTGAATTCTAAGGTAAAAATGTAGTCTTTTCAAGTGTTCATTATAAAATTTTTCATTCCAGGGGGTCTATAGCTTTCATGAGATTCCCAGAAGGGTCCACGACCAATGCTCCCTCTAAGCTGTGGAGTCTTGTGAGCAAAAATTCTACTTTGTGAGCTATTGGCATTAAAGTTGTGAGTGAGCAATTTGGTTACTGCATAAGAGCAGCTTACAGTCGCCTTCTCTTCCTTTCCCCACAAGAGCCAGAACACCAGTGGGGTGATTTTGAAGTCGATTAACATGCAGCTCTTGTTAGTTTTTAAGATTGTATCAGTTTTAATATGAAATTTAATATTAATAGATATTAATAAAGATTCTTAAATATATTGGACTATGCCTATACACATACACACAGTACTCAGAAAAACGTATATTATAACATAATAGGATAATATGCACAATAATACACATAAACACACACACATTATAACGGCCTTCACTCACAACTCTGCCCCCTCTGGTGGTCTTTAGGCTTCTCCTGCCACGACCTTTCTGTGACCCAGATTCTCCTAGCAGCAGAATCTGCCAAAGGCTAAAGATTCCTGAAATAAACAGGGTAATTCTCACTGCTCTGCACTGCAGCCTTATTGAAAAGACCAAATTGCAAGACATTGAACTCTGTAAATTACTGAAAAACTGGAGTCAGAACTTTTGCTGCTAGATCATTGAGATCTCTTAGCCAGCGTTAGTTTATGTAAATGACATTCTCAGTCTGAGTCTGGACTTCAGTTTTTCCTCCTCTTTTCTATTCTTAGATCAACAAAGCAGATGAGCTGTCCAGCCGAATTCAGAACATGCTGGGCAGTTATGAACAGATGAAGGCCCTCATCGCCGCCAAGGAGCACCAAAATCTCATTGGGATCCGTAACAGCGTCGTGTCTCTGATCCCTCAACACAAGCCAGATCACCCACTCTTCCCCGAGAAGACCAGCAACATGTTACCCTCCTCATTCCAGAACAGCAACCATCACCACAAGCCCTTGGGACCCCTCACTTCAGGCACCGCTTCCGCGGGTTGCTCTGCGCACTACCAAAAAGTTAACTCAAGGACAGAACGAGCTTCTGATTTGCAGACGCCAGGCGGTAAGTTGTCCAACAGCCAGAAGCAAGCTCCCGAGCAGAGCTGCAAAGCCCAAGAGATCCAAAGTAGGACGTGCCTGAAGAAGAACGAAAAATGCATTGAAGACGAGATCGCCAAAGAGCTGCAGGCCTCCTTATCAGAACTTTCCCCATTGCTGTCCACGTTGCCTTCCCCGATAGCACCTCTGTCTCCTCTACATTCCAGCCAGCATGTCAATTCCAGGTCTCACAGCAGCAGCAACTGCAAAAGCCATGGGCCGAAGAGCTCCCCGTCTCAGGACCTAGCAGCTGGAACGCGTGACAACGAAAGCCAGGACAGCTTGAGCGCCCCAGGAGCTCTCTCCTCCCAGCCTCCCTCCCAGACATTTCCCTCTTCCTTACCATCAAAAACAAGTGCAATACAGCAAAAACCAACTGCCTATGTCAGACCAATGGACGGTCAAGATCAGGCGCCAGATGAGTCACCGGAGCTCAAGCCACTACCCGAGGAGTACCATGAACAATCGTATGGGAAAATAGCAGATATAAAAGTGAACTCCAAGGCCAAGTTGCCCACGTTGAAAATACCTACTGAACCAATAGAGGTTGGTCAAATCTCTCATTCTTGTTCTTCCTTTGAGTTTTGCGCAAAAAGTGGGGTTTTGTTGTCGTTTCACTGGAGGGGTAGGACAATCCCAAGCTAGCCCATCTGATCAGATCTTGGAAGCTAAACAGGGTCGCCCTTGGTCAGTATTTGAATGGGAATACCAGGATCATGACATGGAGGCAGGCAGTGGAGAACCACTTCTGAACACCTCTTGCCTTGAAAACTGTACAGGGTCAGTGTAAGTCAGTTGTGACTTGACAGCAAAAAAAATACATCAGGTGAAGGGCTGTTCAGGTGAACAAAATACAAATTAAAAAGGAAGTAGTTCCACATCCTGTGGGCCACTTTTGATAAGCTCCTCTTCTGCATGGCCACCAAAGAAACTTCTGATGAAGTGGCACATGGAAAAGGACCTGCAAGGCAGATCATAGAGTGTGGGTAGGCTCATGCAGAAATAAGGCTGTCCTTGAAGCATCTTGTACACAGACTGTTCAGGACTCTAGAGGTCAGAATTGGCACTTTTGTATCTGGGGTCACATGGACAGCCAGTGCATTTGACAAAGGATTTTCATAATCTCTTTCATCCATCTGGTCCCAGTTGGACGTGAGACTACCACATTCTACAGCAGTTTCATTTTTTAGAGACTCTTCAAAGGAAGGCCCACATAGAGTACAGTTGCAGTAGTCTAGGTGTAACCGAGGCATGTTATAGCTAAGTCATTCCTCTACAGGTAGTCTAGGGAAAACAGCCAAGGTTTTAATCAGATACTCATGGCTGTTAACACTACTAATAATTGTGATGTAGTCTTGTATCCTGGAACATGTTCAAACTGTGAGCTCGGGCCTTAAAAGGGATTGCAGCTCCATCCAGTATAGGCTGGGCATTCCAAGAGCCACACCCATTTCACAAACAGTGGCAGTCTTTCTTTTCATTTGGGTCAGCTTGTTGGTCCATCAGATTTCAGATACCAACTTGGAATCTCCACAGCCTCCCTAGAATCAGCCTGAAGGGAGATCCCCCACCCCAACATTTTCATGTCAGCAGTAAACAAAACGTAAGACAGGAGAGAGCCTTGTGGTCACCCCATCAGCCCACGGGCTGTGGGACTGGGCAGCAGTCTCCCAGCCACCACCTTCTGGGGTCTGCCTACCCGGAATGACTTGGCGCTACTGCAAAATAGTGCCTGCTCTCCAGCAGAGCGTGCGTGAGAGTGCTGTTTTTTCTGATGTTCCTCTCTTGATCCTACAGTCCCTTTCAACCCACAGAAAGATCATTCCTGTAATCTCAAGAGCCATAAGGAGGGAACAGCCCCTGGGTGTGAAGATGCTGCAGGAAGAAAGGGAGTGAAATTGCCGTTCCTTCTTCATGGCAGCCCTCTGGGCTCTATGTTCCCAGAAGTTATCTTTGGTGTAGTGGTTAAGTGTGCGGACCAGTTTGGTGTAGTGGTTAAGTGCGCGGACTCTGATCTGGGA